AAACCAGGAGCCCTGCCTATAAAATGTATGGAAATAGAACAAAGCAGACTCAATAAAAACTGAAAAAGAAAATGCAAATCAAACCATTTCAGCTGATAGAAACCTACCCTCCTCGCCCAGCCAAAATAAAAACAAACACTAAAATAAAAAAATATTTAAAAACACATACTTAAAAAAAAAACATTAGACTTTAAAGAGGGGAAAAAATCCTTAGCATCCTCAAACAGATCAAAAGTTTATCAGGTCAAAGGCAGAGAAAGACAAATATCAAATAACTTCACTCACTTGTGAAGTCTAAAAACAAGGCAAAACCGAAGGAACAAAGCAGCAGCAGACTCCCAGACCCTGGGAAGGGACAGGTGGTCACCATGGGGGAGGGGCTGGGGAGGCTGGGTGGGGAGGGAGGGACGGAGAAGGGGATTAAGGATATAATTTGCAGTCACAATATAGGTAGGCCACGGGGATGGCAGTACAGCACGGAGAAGACAAGTAATGACTCTATGGGATCATATTATGCTGACGGACAGTGACTGCAGTGGGAGGGGTGAGGACTTGATAATATAGGTGAATGCTGAAACCACATGCTGTTCATGTGAAACCTTCATAAGATAATATATCAATGATACTTTAATAAAAAAAGTTTATAAGTTTATGAGGGCAAAAGAATTAGAATTATGCTGGCATCAGATGCTTCAAAAGAGCATATGAGGCTCCACTTGTGTTTAGTCCTAACAAACCAAGTGTCCCACAAATAGATACACTGTAAGCTATTAGCCATCCATACTATAAATACAAAAACTCCAATACCAGAAAGGCTTTGGAAACCAACCAAACAAACAAACAAATGGCAAATTTTAAAAGGAAGCAAAAAATGTGTGGCTTTCCCACAGTTTTGAGGTACAGCAGTGACAAGTTCTGCGGGCGGTGGTGATGGGCAGCTCAACTCCAACAGAATCCACTGTCTTCCTGCCACAGGAACCCCAGGGAGGGAAGGGGCAGATGCCGGGCCTCAGATCCTGACTGTGGGAGTCTGAGTCCCGGCTGCACCCCGACCTACAGGTACCTGAGAAACTGCAGTCAGGCCACAGCTAGGGCTGAAAGAACACAGCTGAACGCCCGAAGCAGGTAGGAAAATGATGACGCACATTTTACAGCTGAACAGGTACCTGCCTGCTGAAGCCAAGTCGTCAACGGTTCCTCAGAGAAACATGAAAGAATCCAGGGTCTAACGTTTATGATGGCTAAGGTAAAACCCAGGAAAACGTGACATATTCGCAAGGAAAGAAACAGTCAGGAGACACCAACCCAAAGAATCTGAACTTACGAGACAAGGTGGTTAAAGCGCTCCGGGAAGCACACTCCCCAGGCGATGGCATACATACCAGTAATGAAACGCAGGAACCCTCAGCTGAGAACTAAAGCACGCATACATAAGAAATGTTAGGACTGAAAAATACCTATAATAAATTTACTAAACGGACTTAACAGATGGAGTTGATGGAGAAAAGTCAGCAATTTTAAGATCAATTGGCAGAGGTAAAAAAATGACTGAAAAATAATAACAAGAGCCAGGGTATCAGGGCCAAGTGGGAAAATGTAAAAGCTGTACTGCACAGAAGGGACTGGAGAACTATGGTCACAGGCCGACCTGGCCCAGCACAGAGTTTATAATAAAGTTTTACTGCAGCACAGCCACACTCATTCGCTCGCTTTCCAGGATTCTTCCACACCACAAAAGCTGAGCTGTTGAGTAAAGACCATATGGCCCCCTAGGCCAAAAATATTTATTATCTATCCCTTTACAGAAAAGCTTTGCCAGAAATGGGGCAGAAAAGATATTTGCAGAAATAATGGCCAAGAACTAATCATGTTTTTAGAAAAAATATATAACTTTATTCAAAAAGCTCAGCAGAATCTACACAGATTAAATCTTAAAAGCACCAAACCTAGACACTTAACATTGAACTTCTAAACACCAAAGATAGGGAGATAAACTTGAAAGAAGCCAGAGGAGAAAAGCATTGTAAAGGTGCTCTTTACAGCAGAGAAATCATCTGGACGCCCACAGGCTCCTTATGAGCCTGAAGACTGTGGGAAAACATCTCTAAGTGGTTAAAAAAACAACTGGGCCTGGGAAATGGGAGGAAGTGCCAGACTTGGCAACTAAGACACTGGTTTCAAGGAAAACGAACAGCACTTATACGGTGGGAAAACCAGCGAACACCTTGCCAGGTGATGGCGATCGGCACGTCCAGTAACAGGCAGATAGAACTGTGGGTCTCTGGGGAGCACACACATGGCTCAGGAGTACCCTGGGCAGAAAGCCATTACTTGGGTCTAATCAGGGGAAACATAAAAAAAGATAAAATAAAAAACGTTTTTCAGTGTTTTAACAAAGGATAGTGAGCCAGTGATGCTGGAGTCTTCACAACTGCCTACAACATAAAAGATAAAGAGATGGTCCAGCCTAAGGAGACAGGCAGCTGTGTACAATGTGGGGCCTGCCTGGACCCTGTATTGAAGGGAGAAAAATCTGCTAGATGACACTGATGGGGTCACTGGACAAACCTACACATTCCAGACAGATTTCCCAGAGGCATTTTCAGGTGAAAATTTTCAAAAAAATAAATGAAAATCTTCATATGAAAGCTCTCTTTCTTTCTTACTTTAGCTGTAATTTAGCTTCTTGTGGCCACCTTCCCAAGATGGACCTCCCACCAATGGCCCACGCCTACAGCCACGGTGGTGACATCCTGCTACCCACACAACAACAAAGGGCTTACGTCCCTCACATTCCACTGGGAACACACGCCCAGGTATCTTCTGACAGCTGGAGCTGCTGGTCTTGTCCCTGTCCCCTAATCTCACCACCCACGGTAGGAGATCGGACCGTATGTACCTACAGAGCCTCCCCTTCAGCACCACACTCTCCAGCCACACCCTCCTCCTTCCAAACAGCCTCTGTGCCTCAACCACATCCCAACTCCAGACCTGCGCCTGTTAGTCCAACAACCCCTCCACCCCCTCCCTCCCTCCCTGCCCCCAGATGAGGCCTGGAGCCAAGCCTACCATCGTCTCCCCTTGGCCTGTCCCTCCAGGTCCCTACCGGTGGCCACCTGGTTAAGCCCAACCCTGCTTCCATCCCATGGTGCGGCAGGCAGCTGGATGAACAGCCTGTTCCTGTGGCCTCACGTTCAAGTGTGCTGTCCTAGAGCAGCCGTGGGTCTTGCCCGGAACTCTAGGTGTTCCCCAGATCCCTCCACCTCCCCATATTCCCACAACTACTTCACTGCTCTCTGCGAGTCCCCAAAGCTTTCTCCTCCTCCTTCTCACATGATAATCTTGCTTCCTCTCCCTGAGAAAGCAGAAGGAACCAGAAAGGAATCTCCTCAAGGCCTGACACTTGGCACCACTGTCTGGTACACGCTGCCTCGTCTCCTGTCCTGAACCCCCACGAGCTGCCCGAGAGAGCTGGCAAGGCACAGGGGGACCTGAATGTCCCATACGCCCACTGACGCGAGCACACGCTCCTGCCTCTGATCATGCCTCCCCGCCACTGAATCGGTTCCATCAGCAGAGATGCTGCCCTTTCCCCCCCGCGAGGCCACCTCTCCCCCAGGCACCACCGCAGCCTCTGCTCCCCACCGGAGCTGTCTCTGTGCCCTGTTCCAGGGCTCGCTTCCACTCAGCAATCCCTTGTTCCCATTAACCCACCAAAACGGCTTATCAAGGCCCCAGAAGCCCCACAAGGCTCTTCCAGGTGGTGACCTCTGAGGCCTGCCTTCCTCATCCCACCTGCCGTGCTGCCGGCGGCCCCCTCCTGGGAAGCCTGACTCCTAGAGCCCCACCCTCGCTGGTTTCCACCCACGCCAGCACAGGGGTGCTCGCCCGTGGAACCTCGTCCCTTCCCCACTATACCCACTGTGATCACATCTGGATCTGTGGCCTAAAGTGACACCACGCACTGAGGACTCCCACATCTTTACGTCCCATCTGTCCCAGGAGCGCCGCACTCATGTATCTACCTGCCCTCCTGAGACCCCTACACGGTGCCCAGTGAGCGCTCAAATTCAGAACCCCTGATTTTCCTTCGGAAGCCTGCCCAAGCTCAGTAAACAGTCTTTCTGTTCCTCACACTAAAAACCTCAGTTACCCTCGACATCTCGCCTTCTCCATAAACTCGCACCCAAACCCTTGGGAAATCTAGGCCGGCACTACCTTCAAAAACACACCCTGACTCTGTTCTTAACGAGCACATCACCACCACCCTGGTTCAAGTAAGAGCTCCAGCCTGGATCCATCAGAAGCCTCCCAACCACGCTCCTGCTTCTGGCGTTGTCCCCCTTCCCACACACCTCTGCGTCCGACCCACCAGGCCCTGCACCGCCTGACACCCCATTACCTCCCTGACCTCAGAAAGTGACTGAGTTTGAAGACAGGGCTTTAAAAGATAATGAAGGTTAAATGAGGGCATTAGTGTGGGCCCTAATCTGATATGAAAGGTGTCCTTGTAAGAGGAGGAAATTAGGACAGAGACCCAGAGAGACCGGGCGAGGACACAGGTAAGACAGCCACGTGCAGGCTACAGAGCGAGGCCTAGGAAGAGACCAACCCGGCCACCACGCCCTGATCTTGGACTCCAGCCTACAGACCTGAGAAACAATCAATTTTTATTGTTTAAGCCGCCTGTGCTGGGCTGTTTGTTAGGGCAGCCTGCGCACACTAATACTGTCTGCTCTGTCACCTTCATGTTCTTATTTTTTCTTGGACATGTGGGCAAATGCAGTGCCTGGGAGCATTCCCTCCAGGCCACGCTGGACATTACGCTTTATCTGCTCTTCAGCTGCAGAAACTAAGGCTTGGGGATGTTAAGTGGCTTGCCCAAGTTATGAGGTAGAGAAGGATGGAAATCAAATTTCATCTGGCCCTATGATCGTACAGACTATTTCCACACTTCACCAACACCAGACACTTAAAGAACAAAATAAAAGAATCCTTACTTTTCAACCCAGAGCACGGAAACAAGCTTCACGCCTCTCTTCTGAGCCTTGTCCCAAGTGCTCTGGTATCCGTCCTTGAACACAACGTGAGTGACTTGTTTATTAAAAGTTTTTGAAACCTGTAGACAAAATGCAGAACAAATCTAAATTACCATTTGCAATTTCCTAAGTAAAAATGATCAAAAAGGATACTTCATTCACTATTTATCAAAACAAAAGTGTCCAAAACGCCTCCCCCAGCAATTCCATTTTTCAGAATCTGTCATTTTCCCGAGGTCGTTGTCAAATTAGGCAAACACCAGGCAGCACTTCTAAATGCCTCTCAGGATGGGTAGAGGAGCAGTTGGGGAGAAAGCACAGCAGCCCACCCGTCTGTGCCCAGAGGCCGCCCCGCCTCCCCTAGACCACTCCCTTTGTGGTTCAGCACAAACTGATGAGCAGAAGATACGGGCAACCTTCTCGACTCTGAAGAGTGTGAGCACAGGGAAGACCCGGTCGCTGATGACCCCAAGGCCCTCACAGAACCCCTACTCTGTCATTTACAGGGCAGTCTTGGCCCCACTGTGGGTGTCACTCAGATGCTCGCAGGGAAAAGGACGAACACAAACTCGCACACGGAGGATAACGGGGAGGAGCCAAGGCGGATCCAAAGGACAATGTGAGAATGACCCACGGAGGAAGGAATCCAAAGGGGCCCCCACGAAAAGACACAGTGGGGAACCTGGGTGGGGGGCCGCCCACCATCGGGGCCAGCCTGCTCCTCTGGCTTTGGGGCACACTCTCCTTTCGCTTTGCTGAACTGAAACCCCCGTGTGGAACTTTCTCTTGGGTCTCTGGAAAAAGGACAGCTACTAAGACCAAAGAGCGAGTGAGATGATAATAAAAATAAGTCCTGTATTAGTAAAATAAAAAATAAATGCAGAAAGGAGAATCCCAAACATCAGAAGTTGGCTCTACAAGAAAACTAATGAAATCAATAAAAACCCAGGTCCACATTATCAGGGAATTGAAAGAAATGGCACAAATAACCAGTATTAGCAAGGAGTAATCAATACAGATCACGAAAACATTGAAACATTCGAACAGTATACTATGAACAATTTTGAGCCAATAAACTTGAGAATTTAGATGAAATGGATAAACCTCTAAGAAGAAAAGAAACAGAAACACCAACTTTTTGCAAGCACTTAGAAGAAATAAGATAATTAATCCTGTAATTATCAAATTAAAGCTGTCATGACTAGTGGCTTCATCAGCAAATTACATCAAATATCTAAGAGAAAAATATGAATCTTACAGAAACTTAGAATAAAAAAGAGAAAGCTGCAACTTGTGTTTTGGAGTCAGCACGTCATTAGCACTAAATCACGTAAAGGTCCTGCACAAAAGGGCCAGTGTCACTCCTGGAAATTTGATGGAAAACTCAACGAAATATTAGCAAACTCTTATCAATTAATATTTAAAAAGGATAATACATCCCCACCACTTGTACTTATTCCAGGATTGTAAAACTGGTTAACATTAAAAAAAAAAACACATTGTTATTTACTACATTAATAAAAAGAGAAAAATCATGTGACCATCTTAATGCAAGCAGAAACACATCTGATGAAATTAAAAAGTGTATTCATGAGGAAAATTCTTATAAATTAGCATCTGACAATTGGTAAAAAAATTGCTTCAGGTGAAATACCAAAGCTTTTCCTTGAGAAGAGTAACCAAAGATGTCTGGGATATTACCTGTTTTTTATTCAACACTGGCCCTGGCTGGAGCAGAAAAATAAATCAGAAGGTGTTAGGAATACAAGAAATAGAAATAAAACTGTTCGCACATGACTCAACTGTGTAGTTTTTTAAGACCCCCAAAACACCACAGAATTCCGAAGTGAGTTTGGTAAGCTTTCAGGACACAAAGTGGGTACACAACAATTATTTCTAGATGCCAGCAGCACTTAGAAAAAGGATAAAAGAGAGTTTACAATAGCATCAAAGTGACAGGGAAAATTTGAAACATTATTGAAAGAAATTAAAGAAACCAAATCACCATAGGCACATGGGTTCATGGGTTGGAAGAACCAATTTCGTAAAAAAATGTCAGTTCTCTGTACACTGAAGTATTGGTATCAATCCCATCCTGACGAAATTCTGAAACCCCAGAAGTGAAAGGCACACACTTCTGGGGTCAGCTCACCCCTGGGCCCCCTCCTCACGGGCTGCAGAAATACTGAACGGTCTCCGCCTCCAGCATTTCATTCTAACCGCCTGGGTGGTCACCCCTCTGGTGGCCTTCCATGACCCCTAGGGTCTCAACCCATAGAACACTGCCTTCGCTCCTATCTCAAGGTCCAGATGTGTATACCCCAATGTCTATCAGATATTTCCAATATGCCCAGATTCACAAGCTTTCCCTTAAAAGCTGCTCCTTTCCCTGAGTTCCTCACTTGGATCAACAGCATCCATACTTGTGCCCAGCGGCAGAACCTGTATTTTATTCCTAGATCTCCTCTTTCATAACCAAGACCAGGTCGTCCATAATCCAGTTCTAAATTCCTTCCTCTCACAGTCTCCTTTTTTCTCCCACCACTTACTTACCCACTGCCTTCCTTATCCTTCATGTTTTAAGTATTAACTACCTAAACAAATGTAAATCTATCTCATTGTGTATCAGAGAACTGTCATACGTATAGCAATGGTAACATTTTTTACCTTTGCCCCCATATCCACAAGTTGGTTTGTAAATGTCTTTGAATAATTTTCTGTCCCATTGGCTGACCACACTTCAACATAGGCCACAACATCTGAAAATAAACAAGATGTTAGCATGAAATGCATTTGAAATTCCAGCATCCGTGGCCCAAGGATTTCAAAAGATTTCTCTTGTTCTACTTACATTAAAAAGTAAATTTTAAATTTATTCTATTAAAAGCCTATTCAAAATAGTACTAGTGCGAGCACGTTGTTAAAATCTCAAGCAAAGAACTTTACCCACACATGTCACACACGTCATGTTTACATTCTAAACACTCTATGCTCATCCAAATTCCCAAACCAGAGTCTGTTTTCTGTAAAGGACTAGATAATAAATACTTTAGGCTTTGAGGGCCACAAAACCCCTCAACTTCGAGTGTAGCACAAAAGTACCCAAACATAATACATTAATAAGCACGGCTGTCGGTGTAATGACGCTCCTGGTACTAACAATAGACACTGACAGGAGAGGCGCTCCTATTTCTTTGCCTAATTTCATGATTGCTCCACGCCCCTGAATTCACCGGGCCACGCAAAGGCACGAGGGGCGGGGAGAAGGCTGAAAATTCAGCCACCCCTCAGGTGCCCCGCCACGTACTGCACCTTCCTCCTCGGCAAGGCCAGGTGGCGGGGGGCGGCCCTGGACTCGGGGGCAACCCCCCCCCGGGGGCCGGGATGACTTCCGGGAGGGCCGGACTCCCCTCCCCGCGAGCCCCATCCCCCGTCCCCAGCGCAGGCAGCGGCCTAGATGAGGGTCCTTAAGCCTGTCCCCTCCCCAGGAAACAGGAAGCACCCTCACCCTTCAGGACCGGATTCCCTGGCGTCCCGGGAGCCGCCATGAGGAGCTGCGAGCTCGGAACCGCTCGGAGTCCCGCGAACAGAGGCGGGCGGCACTGAGCATGCGCAGGGCGCTCCAGCGCCGCTCCCCTCCGGCTACGCGTAACTCTGCCTTCCGCGTTTTCTAAATAGCCCGAGGGGGCGGGAGAAAGCTAAACCCTAACCCCGCGGAAAGTGCTTGGTGCTCTTCCTGCGCGGAGGCGCGCTGCGTCCGCGCTGCCCGAGGGCGCCCGCCTCTGCCCGTTCGCAGTTACGCGAACGCGATCGCTGCGGGCTCGGGGCCCCCACCCGCGACCCCCGCCTCGCGGACCCCGAGGCGCGCGGGACTGCCGCTAGGAGGGTCCCACCCACGGCCGCGCCGGCGGACCCTAGGCCGAGACCCCCGGGGCGCCTCCGCATCTCCACCTCAGGCCCCGCCAGGGAGCCTCCGTATCTCAGATGCCCACGGAGGTGCGGGAGCGGGCCCCCCAACCTCACACACTAACGGGACTCCAGACCGTAGATCCGCGGCCAGGGTCCAGCTGGCCCGGCAGCCCCCTCGAACTCTGCTGCCCACAAGTCCCGGAGTGGACAGGTCCAGACCGGAGCGGGACCAGCCCCGTGGGGAGGAGAGCCCCCCACCCGGCGCACCGCTCGGCCGCCTGGGGCTTCAAACCTCCCGCGTTCGGGAGGCGCCCCGCCCACGCCCCGCCCACACCTCGGCTTCACCTACGCCTACGCCCCCATCCCGCGCCCCACCCACATCCCCGCTTCACCTAAGCCCCCTCGCCCCGCCCCGCGCTCCACCCACATCCCCTCCTCACCTACGTCCTACGCGCCGTCCACCCCTGCGCCTCGGCCGCGGGGCTGCGCGCCTGAGCCCGTGAGTCCAGCGTCTACAGTCAGGGCCCCCGCTTGCTGGGTGCCGCTGAAGCGGGAACGGTTTTCTGGCTGGTGATCATCAATTATAAACCCCAACAGGGAAAGATGTACATTGTATCTTCTGTAAGAAGTCAACTGCCTCTGCAACTCAGTCGCTGAAAAACCATTATCACCCTGAAGTCCTGCTTTTCTCCAGTGGACTTTATTCGAAACAACCCCTCCTAACATCCTCCTTCTCCAAAAAATAACCTGCTTCTTTATAGCACTTGCCTATAGTTCTGCTATACCTTGCCTGTCTAGAATTGTGATTCTCTGCTATTCCTGAGTAAATCCGGTTTGCTGGTAAAATAACTGACAGGGTTTTTTAAAGTTTAAGAAGATTTAGAATTAAATAGTGAGTCATGAAGTAGAGCAAATCAATCACCTTTGGCCTGGATATTAACAAAAAACTTCAGTATTTGATAGATTCTTCACCTTCAGGGTCAAAAAATATTTTCTCCTAGGGTTTCTTCCAGAAATATCACAGTTTTGGGTTTTATATTTAGGGCTAGGCTGCTTTGAGTTAATTTTTGAATATGGTAGAAGTAAGGACCACAGTTCATTTGTTTGCACATACGGTATTCACATCCAAATTGTTCCAACACCATTTGTTGAAAAGCTGTACCTCCCCCTCCACTGCATTCATTGGCTTTGCACATAGTAAAAATCAGTTGTTCAGACATGTGTGGTTTAATTTTAGACTTCTTACTCTGTTCCATTGAGCTATTTATCTTTACACCAGTACCATATAGATTAGTGTAGCTTTATGAATAAGTTGTGAAATCAGGTAATATAATTCCTACCACTTTGTTCTTAAAATCAGATTGTCAGTTTCTACTAAAAAACAACAACAGTCCTGTGTCTTCTGGTCTCTCTTTTAGGGCTAGTTGTATTTGAAAAAGAAAAAAAAAAAAAACAACAACAAAACAATAAAAAGCCTGCTGGGATTTTGTTTGGGATTGTGTTGAATCTCAGGTCTCTTTAAGGGAGAATCGACATCTTAACAATATTGAACCTTATGATCCATTAAAATTTATTTACATCTTCTTTAATATCTCTCAGCAATGGTAGGTATTTTTCAGAGGATGGGTCTCTTACAACTTTTGTCATACGTAGCCATTTCTATTTTTTTATGATATTGTAAGTGGTTTTTTACAATTTCAATTTCTGGTTGTTAATTTATGGAAATACAATTGGTAGTGAATTAATCTTACATTCTACAACCTTCCTAATTTACTTAATAGTTGTAATAGCTTTTCTCATTCGTTCCCTATAATGTTCTAAAGACAGTCATGTTGTCTGTGTTTGGAGGAAAACTTTTCTTCTTCCAGCATGGGTCTGTGACTGGACCCTGCAAATTAATGGTGGACAGATTAACAGGAGAAAAGTTAAGGTTTATTTACATGCGCTTGAGGGTGGGGGAGTACCCCCCTCCCTCCCTTAATAACTCCCTTAATAGCCAGAGATAAAAGGTTTATATATAAAACTTAACAAATCCAGTAGTAGGGGAAGATTTAGAACTTCAGTTGAAAATTGAAGAGGGTTCTATTAGGCTTTTTGATGGTCACAGGAATGGGTAGTCTGTTTCCTTGGCAACTGAATTCACAAGAAACTCCCTGGGAGGGGTTCTAATGGTAGCTGTATTTTTGGGAGGCTCTGCTTTCATCCCATAAGGGAAGTTCAGATAAGATTTATTTCTGTATTTCTTTAGCTCAAATGTTTACACTTTAATCTTTATACCAACTCTGGGTGTACAGTGCTGGATAGACAGGTAAGAACAGTTATCCTTTTCTTCCTGATCTTGGGGAGAAAGCCTTTGGCCTTTCAATATTAACTATGATGTTAGCTGTGGGTCTTTCACAGATGCATTGTATCAGGTTGAGGAAGGTCCTTTTTCTTCCCATTTTGCTGAGAGCTTTTCCATTTTTCAGATCAGGAATTCTAAAAATTAGAATGTCTGATTTTGTCAAATGCTTTCTTTGAATCTACTATTATGATTATATAATTTTTTTCTTCTATTTGTGAATAGTGAGTTACACTGGCTGATTTTTTAATGTTGAGTTAATCCTGCATTTCCAGGATAGATCGGCTTACTCATGATGTACCCCTTTCTATATTGTCAGATTTGTTTTGCTAAAAATTTGTTTGTCTAAAATTTGCTTAGAATGTTTGCATCTAACTTCATGACAGATTTGGGTTTATAGTGTTCTTATAATGGAAACTTGGAGGTACAAGAAGGAATAAAAAAATAAAAAGTGCTAAGATGTGGGTTAATCTACATGACTATTGATCATACAAATATAAACAACAAATATTTTTTGTATAAAACAACAATACTAGTCTTATGAGGTTAAAATACAGTTTATATGTAGCAAAATGCATGATAGTAATGATGTATTGATAGAGGAGTTTATGTAGTAAAAAATACTCTTAGATCCTTTTATTTTACAGAAAATGGTGAAAAGTACTCATTTTTATTAGAGTGTGATAAGGCAAGGATGCATTTTGTAACCTTTAGGAAAACCAAGAAAAGAAATTAAATATTGTGTAACTACCAAACTAATGAAAGTGGAAATGAAATAATAAAATATAATCCATTCCCAAAAAAACAAAAGGAAGGAGAAAAAAATATAGCAAGCAGGAGAATATACATACAGACGGTACACTTAAATCCAAATTTATCAATAATTATATTAAATAAAAGCACCCATTCTTGATGGAATACTCAAGGGAATAGGAATTTGGTGTTACATCTTAGCATAAATAAATAAATGTACATAAAGCCACTTCATCTTAATGGGGAAACATGGAGGCATTTCTCCTATGATCCAGAGCAATGATGCTCACTGTCTACAGAACCAGTCAACCCTATATAGTGAGATGTGAAGCACTTCGCTAGATAAGAGATTCAACCTGTGACATAAGAACTTAAGAATAAGTAAAACTATTTCGATGTTAGATGACATGATAGCACATCTGGAAAATCCTAGGGAATCATTGATAAAATTAACTTAAAAAACAATTTCAGTAAGGATCCAGAAATAAAATTAACCATCCATGGAGAAAACTCCACTTGCAATAACAATAAAGAATAAACCTAACAAGAAGTGTGCAAAATCTCAAAACAATGAGAAGAACTTTAAAACAACTCTTAAAAGTAGATCTGAGCAAATGGAAAGACATCTCTGGTTCTTGGATTGGGTGCTTAGCATCATAATGTCTGTTCTTCCTAATTTAATTGAATGTGATCCCAATTTAAAAATACCAACAATCTTTTGATAGAGCTAGACAAGGTGATGCTAAAGCACGCTAGGAAGCCACCGAAAAAGAAAAGCTACAAGGGGTCTAAACCTACCAGATATACAACATACTAGAAAGTCTCCATCACTAAAACTGTGGTCCTGGTGCCTGACTCCACAAACATCAGGAGGCTAGTGGTGAGGGCCCAGATATAAACCCAAGTATGTGTGGACATTTAGTATAGCATAGAGGTATTGCCTCGAATCACTGGGTCAAAGATAGACTTTTAAATAAATGGCACTAGGAAATTGGTGTCATAGGACAAAACTGTAGAATTAAATTAATATCTCATGCTATTCGTAAGAATAAATCTAAAATAGATTGGAGATCTAAATGTAAAAATTTATCAACATACAAGTTCTAAAAGAACATATAGGTGAATTCCTCCATAACCTTGTATACAGACAAGGCTTATAACTATAACTGAAAATCAGATGCAATTAAAGAATGATAAAAAAAAATCACACACCATGAGCAAAATCAAAAGACAGCTGAAGGAGATCAGAATCAGAGAGAGATTTGAAGATGCTGCTGGCTTTGAGAATGGAGGAGGGGACCAAGGACTGCAGCAGCTGCTTGGAGCAGGAAAAGGCCAGGAGACAGAGCCTCCCTCAGGACCCCAGCCCTGCAACCCCTTGCCTTTAGCCCTGGGAGACTCATTGCTGACTTCAGATGTCCAGAACTGCAAGATAGTAAATTTGTGTTGTTTTAAAGCACACACACACACACTAAAAGGCAAATGACGAACTAGAAAAATATGTACAATATTTCTATTGTATTTGTTTTTAATTCTTAAAAACTGCAGGAAAGACCAAAAATATATATAAAAAATGGGCAAAAAGAACAAACTAGTCACAAAAAAGATACAAAAACTCTCCTTAAATTTATGAAACCTTATTCATAATTAGAGAAATGCCACCTTAAAGTACACTGGGATATCACTTTCCTTTCATATCATCAACAATGGAAAAGTTGGATAATATATTCTGTCAGAAATCCTGTCGGTAAATAGTGTTACACATAGCTGGTGGAAATAAAAAATATTTACAA